TGCGCGCAGCACCACGATTATCAATGGCGTGTCCGAGCTCAAGGTTTTTAATCTTGGTTTGAGCTAATCTGCTCGCGAACCTAAATGCTCCGACTCGATCTCCGTCGAACTCGTCGAAGGCCATCGACGAGCGTAGCTTATCTCGATATCAGGTGTAATGTAGCGAGTTATTAATATCCGCAGTTCCGCTCGTTCCTCTATGCTCACTCGTCATGTCGGCGGCCAAGGTGATTTCAATATAATATCTAATATAATATCTAAAATAAAATATAAACAACATAATGAGAGAATCGTACGGGATCGAGGTGAAAGTGGAAAGTTATATGTACATCCGCCTTGTCTTCTACTTAATAGATATCTCTTAGAATTATAATAGTGTTGCTGTTCTGCTGGTGATTCGTTCAACAATAATGCCAGAGAACAAAAGTCTTCTGTTACAATCGGTGAAAGTGGAGAGTGCGCATCTTGTTTCCCTTTTCATTCCCTTTCTTTCTGGGTGAAAGGACCGACATATAGTTCTGACTTCGAACGACTGATAGCTCACTGTAGACAACGTTGTAGACTTAACATTTAATAAATATCTTTCATTGCAACAGTGACAATACTCCGCTGCCAGTGGTAACAATTTTCGGTACTGACAGTCCGCTGTTTGTTTCAGAGCGAAGATAGCAGCAACGATAATCTGAACAGGCAAGGCTCGTTCAGGAAGCTCGTGCCAGGGAGCAGCAACGGGGACTCTCCGTTGAGCATGTCTGTGAAAATCGTAGACAGACCGGTCGTGTCGCAGACCAACAAGCAGCACGCCATTTTCTTGCAGGAATACAATATTCTTTCCGAGTAGTAAGTTCGGCAATGCCGTCGGGATACCGTGTTAAGGGATAGCTAATTTATGTACGATGTATGTTCCAGCAAAATGTTGTGCTCCCAGGACTTGAAGGGGACCTACGTGATACCGTCCGCTTTCAACCCCTTTCGTAAGTACCGCTAGAGGCTGCACAAGTTGTATTCAGTCGCGTTCGTAATCCGGCGTGTCGATTTTCTTTTGGTTTATATATAACACTAGCGCGAAACTGGAACAGTTCAGTGCCGCTCTGTAACTTGCATGTGGAGAAACAAATGCCCAATGTTCTCCGTTTCCCCGTTCGCGTACTACGTTTCTTTTGATTGAAATGTTAGTGTGTTTTTGATAGGTGTAAACCTATTTTGTAGGTCTCGCTCGCCCCGATTGCGACTTGTATAACGATGTAAATATATCCATCTCTCTCTTGCCTGTTCTCACTTTAACGCAGTAAAACCGGCAGTTGTAAAAAGTTGTAATGTGTATCTTCGCATTTTGTCACAGTGTGGTTTGGTGTACTGTTCATTCGGCAAGGAGTCTACAAAAGCGGAGTTTTTAGATTCACCATTACGCTGCCTTCGAACTTCCCAGTCGGTGATTGCCCTGTAAGATTATTGACCCGCTGATAATCGATGTTACGCGCAACTGTTTTCACCCGTACGTGTTTTAGAAAGTTGTGTTCGAAACTGAAATCTTCCATCCGTTGATAAATCCAGAAAACGGAGAGTTGTGCACGTCGTGGGGATTTCCCGAGTGGAGAAGGAACAATCGAATTTGGCAATTGTTACAATATATCTCCAAGATATTTGTTAAACTGGACACGAAAATGACTTCGGTAAACGAGGAGGCGTCTAGCTTGTGAGTGCGTTTGTTTCCAATGGAAACACAAAAGAACCCAGCAAGCACAGAACGTTGCAACAACGTTGCGGCAATGTTCTGTGTTTGCTGGGAATATATCGTTCAGACCGTCTGGATGCGACAATAAACCGGCGACATATTACAGGCAGGAAAATAATTTTGAAGCTTTCCGAGAACGCGTGAAAGCTTGCGTGAAGGGAAGCGTGAATCAAGTGTTCAATCCACCTACCATAGACGATCCACATTATATTACGTTTAATCCATACCTGAACGAACTTCACGATCCGATCAAGCGGGAAATCTACGAGCCAAAGGTAAATATGTATTCGAGTGTATCGCTCATTACTACAAAGCGCATTAAGCTCGCAGACCTAATCAATTTATCGTGCCTTGCAGGACGAAGAGGAAAATAAGCCACTGGGTTTATCGTGGGTACAACCCGGCTCGCTTCAGCCATTTTCGAAACCAGAAGCGAGATAATGAAAGAATTCTAAACGCTGATAGTGAGACAACATACGTCCTTGTATGAGCTGTACGAAGAAATCGTTACTCCCCCCCTCCTCTCTCTCTCTCCCTTGGCAATCATGCAGGCGATAAAATCACAAAATTGATCAGAAAATCTATTTTTTTATTCAGAGAGCATACATGTGTCTTAACGTTTTATATGGATCTATATGCGTTGAAGTGATAGATAGGTACTTACAATTAGATAGATAGACAGATAGAGAAAGAGAGAGAGAGGGAGAGAGAGAGAGAGAGAGAGAGAGAGAGAGAGAGAGAGAGAGAGAGAGAGAGAGAGAATGTGTGTCTAGAACAAATTAAAAAATATAAAATACTCGTGCAATTAAATTAAGACAAAGATTAACGATTAACATAATTGTTCTGAAATATGGAAAATTTTATTATACAATTTTTATTTTAATACATATACGAATAGTGTGAATTATTTTTATACTTGATGGACTTTATGATCAGTGACAAACCCACTATTACTCACGTGATGCGCGCAATTTCTAATTAACATCGAAAGTGAGACGGAGAGAGTGGAAGAAAGACACTTAATATATCAAATTAAACATAATTAAGCAAAGCAGTTAATCGACCATGACAGCCTGTGTGTTTTTTTAACATAGAAAATTTATTGCGAAAAATATTACCCCAGCCAGGTCCAGGTTCAAACCCTGGGGTGATATTTTCCGCAATAAACTTTCTGTGTTAAAAAACACACATAGCCAGTCATGGTCGATTAAGAGGCTGAAGTCATCTGTTTTACCGACACATTCGATGTAGTTTTTGCGCTGCTGAATCTTTTCATTAGTTTTTACGCCTAAAATAATACCAGGATAAGTTGCGGACCGCATAGCAGAACGTTTTTATACTTGAAACACTCGGGTCAGAAGTTTAATGAGAAAGATATTGGTATTTGAAATTTTCAATTTTTTAATCATGAGCAATTTGAATTTGGCTTTATAAAATTACAAAATTCTTCCACGCGATTACAGTACGCGTAAAAACAAAGCGGGGGGGTTCACGACTTTATATAAAAAACGAAGAGAAATAAAAAATATCGCTTTATAAGTAATTGTGGTTAGGCTTCACATGCTGATATTTTTAATTTTTCTTCGTTTTTTATATAAAGTCGTGAACCTCCCGCTTTGTTTTTACGCGTACTGTAATCGCGTGGAAGAATTTTGTAATTTTATAAAGCCAAATTCAAATTGCTCACGATTAAAAAATCGAAAA